AAAGATTGAAAGTATTTTATATTTTGTAATTCAAATACTAAGATTCCTAGTATTTTGTATTTTGTATTTTAAATACTTTAATGGTGTATTTTGCCCAGCCCTGGTTGTATCTTACAAGGCTGTAACTTAAAAGTATTTCTTGATTTTTTTTTTCTTCAGTGAGGAGTGCGCAGCGCTGGATTTAGATGGCCAAGGTGGCAGAACATTTTTACGCGTCCTATTACATCTGGCTATGCACGATTATCCTCCGTTGGTCTCCGGGGCCTTGCATTTATTATTTCGGCACTTCAGCCAGAGGCAGGAAGTCTTGCAGGCATTTAAACAGGTTAGACTTTTTTTTTCGGATATCGAAGGTTAATTATTGCGAGAGAGAAATTATTTGGTAATACAAACGTGCGGTTAACAGGTGCAGCTTTTGGTCTCGGACAGCGACGTGGAGTCGTATAAACAAATAAAGGCGGATCTGGACATTTTACGCCAGTCTGTCGAGAAATCCGAGCTTTGGGTGTACAAATCCAAGGCGACGGAGGAACATGGGAACAAGAAGAAGAAGAGTAAGGACGAAGAGGATGACGCGACAGCTCCTCGCAAAACACCTCTGTTGTCCACGTTAGATAAACAAGGTTTTTGTCTTAATTAATCGTTACTTTGTGGCTTTTTTTTTTTTTTTTTGGTGAAAAGTGAACAAATAATTATATTTCTCGAAGGGTCTGCCATCGACTTGGATATCGGCCCACCGTTACATCCCGAGCAAGCGGAGGAGTACAAGAAGATTCAGCAGATACTAATGAGAATGAACAAGCTGTGCATTCAAAATCTGCCGGGCGGCCAAGTGAAGGCGCGCAAACACGAGCAGCGGCTTCTGCGCAACGTCGGGGTGCACACCGTCGTTTTGGATCTGCTGCAAGTTCCGTACGACGCTAAGGAAGACGTCAGAATGAACGAGTTGATGCGCCTGGCGCATGATTTTCTGCAAAACTTTTGCCTGTCCAATCAGCAGAATCAGGTCCTGCTGCACAAGCAGCTGGATCTGTTCTTGAATCCCGGCATAAGGGAGGCGCAGACGGTGTGCAGTATCTTCCAGGATAACTCGGTTCTCTGCAACGAAGTCGGTGCGAAGGTCATTCAGCATTTCGTACATTGCATAGAGACGCACGGGAAACATGTGCAATATTTGAAGTTTTTGCAAACCATAGTGAAAGCTGAGAATCAATTCATTAGAAAATGTCAAGAGATGGTGATGCAGGAGGTGAGATGCCGTTACGTCGTTTATACGCGCATAATTTTTTTGTGGCACATTTTTCTAGCTTTAATTTTTATTTCAGTTGGTTCAAGCGGGAGAAGATGTTCTAATCTTTTACAATGATAGAGCCTCGTTTAATCATTTTGTGGAAATGATGCGATCCGAAAGACACCGGATGGATGAGAGCAGTTCTCTTCAGTAAGTTATTCTAATGTATTTTTAAAATGAGAATTTAAAGTGCGAATTATCTAATTGAATATCAGTGCCGGATTTAAAGAAGTGGGGGGGACCCCCCGGGCGGCTGAATCAGTGGGGGCCCCTGATTTTTTAACCAAATTTTCTGTTTAATCAAGTTTTGTTTGCTGATAAGTCTTAAAAATTTTGCTGGATACAGATCTGAAGGTAATTTTGTTGGAAAATGATTGAGCATCGCTGTAAAACATTTTGATATTCTGGCAACCAGTTTGAATTTCCAACAAAATTATTTTCAAATCTGTGTCCAGCAAAATTGTTCTTTCCGTACGAGGGCCCCGAATTTGTGGGGGCCCCTGGGCAGTTGCCCAATCCGCCCTTTCTCAAATCCGGCATTGTTGTATATATCACATATTGTACGATGTTCTATTTCCTACCGATTTTGAATATCCGAAAATCCCAAACATACAGAAATTATTGTGTTTCAGGTATCATGTAGAGCTGGTGAAACTTTTAGCTTGTTGCACGATGGGAAAGAACGTCAATACTGAAATTAAATGTCACAGCCTCTTGCCGTTGGATGATATTGTTACTGTGGTGTCACATCCAGACTGCATACCAGAGGTGAATTTTCCATCGAATTTTTAGCGTACTTACATCTGATTAAAATAAAATAAATATTACTGACACACGCGTGTGCTTAACATCTGTAAACAGGTGAAAGAGGCGTACATCAATTTCCTCAACCACTGTTACATCGACACGGAAGTCGAGATGAAGGAAATTTATACGTCGAATCACATGTGGTCGTTGTTCGAAAAATCTTTTATAGTTGATATGGGCTTAATTGCCACGTCTACTCACGATCGACAGCATGCGGATACAGCCTTGGAGACTTACGTGACGAGTTGTTTAATGAACATCATATCCACATTTTTCAGCAGCCCGTTTTCGGATCAAAGCACCACTGTACAGGTAACATCTTCATTTGTTGTATCACGAGAAAAAAAACCATTAATTATCTTTCAACGGCGTATGTGTATATTATATACACATACACACACACATACACACATTCTTATGTCTTCTTTCTAAGTGATTAATCTATATGTTATAAAATCTTATATTTAATCCTTCGGTGAATATAATTTCACAGGACAATATTTGATTTAAAATTGTTTAACACCAAATTAATTGTAAATTGTTCACGGTGGGCAAAATTTTTTTGTTTCGATTCACGCTTTTTAAATATCCAAAATTAATAATTCAAAATAAGGTTTATGTGGTGTTGTTTTGGCACCTTATTCTTGATGGAACTTTTATATTGCACAAATTTTATTCATAAAAATGTATTTGTTTAAATCTATTTGTTTAAATTATAACACGATCCTTTTTACACAGAAGAGAAACATTCATCTGAAAAAGGTTTGCTTATATAGAATTACTACATTTTGATTACGTACACATATTTAGGTTGTATTGAATATTTGTTGATTATTAAAGGTACACAGATATAATTAAAATTCTTATTTATTTTAAAGCTTTTATATTTGTTACGTTTTATTACAAAAATAAAATTTACTAAAATGAAGAAAAAAAAGGCAGGATTGAAAATCTTGTAAAGCTTGCATTTTTTTTATTAATGTACAAATCTGTATGAATAATATAAAGATTAGTATGACGTAATATTTAATGGAATTTAAAATAGCTTTATATTATAAAAACTCTGTTCACATATAATTATTATAATTTTCTTTTTGCTTAAAGGGAATAATTAAATAAAGCAGCACAAGGCAGTAAACTTACATTCTAATTACCAAATATATGCACAAACTACATCGACATATACTTCATTTCACAATCTCTCGCTTTGCATGCAAACACATTATAAATTAAGTTCACTTATTAACCAAGTACATGTCACACATACACACATATATATAGAGAGACATTTTTTAAATACTTTTTCACATATATATAGACATTTTTTAAATATTTTTTTATTAATATTTTTTATTAATTGGAATTTTATTATGCATATTAGGTTCTAGCTAATTATTAAGTATTATTTTTATCTCGAGCAGTGAGCCAATACAAAAGTGTCAGTTATATCAATTATAATTATTGTATGATGTGTGCTTGGTCATTGCTGAAAGCATCAGTGGCATGTTCTGTGTTTTTGGCATGCAACACCTGGCCTTCTTTGAATCAACAACATTGGTTTATTGGGTCTATGGGTACTGTCCATCTGTATGGTGGTGGGTTGGTTTACTAATAGAAACATCTGCACGAGGCTAGACTATATTGGAACATCAAGGAGTGCGATCGGAATACAGATAATAATCTTTCTGGCTATGTGAGTATCGAATGCTAGAATCTTTTCTTAATGTTTGGTAAATACAATATAGTACGATTGTCTCTTACGTGTCTATGATATCAGATATAATTGTGAAAATATTTTATAAAATCAAAAGAAAATTTCTCACTTGGCTGTACATAATAAATATTTATTCTTTTAAGGGGTATAGAGAATTCTAGATTCTATTTGTAGATCCATATATTACGACATATATTACGATCGGTTATACTAGAAATGCTTTAGCAGCACAGAGTGACGTGTTGTAAATACAAACTGCATTCTCTTCTTTATATACGCTGTATCACATGTCTCTCTGCATAATTAACACATTCATTGTCATTGAATGCACCTGTTTTTTATAAGCCACGTCTGCCGGTGCTAACTACGATTATTGTGCCCCTTATTATCCTCGAAATATTTTTCTCTCGTTTTTCTATCTCTGTGTGTTTCCAAAATTGTTCTAATTTATTACGGAAAGTTTGCACAATTCACATGGCATGTATATAATATTTTTCTATTCGGATTGCTTGGCAATGAGTGTGTTACACTTTATGCAAGACATTTTAATATATAAGGGTATAATTTAAAGTATCTTATAATAAATGAATAACGAAAAATAATATAGACTAGATATATGATATGATTTAAATTTTTTGTGATATTATATAACAAGATTATGTGATATAACTTTTGAAAAAATACGTCTTATAAAAGATATTATCTAAAGACATTCTTTATATATTTAATATAAAACAGTTTAATATTTTTAATATTTATTCTTTCGTAACTTAAATGTAATTTAAGGTATTTAGGAAACTTTAATTTTAATTTTAATTTTGCTATTATAATATGGACATTTTAATTGATTTTTGTATTTACTTTTTCATGGAACAGACAAGGCAACCTATATTTGTTCAGTTGCTTCATGCAGCTTTTAATGTATCGCAATGCGCGTGGTTAAATGCTGGACAAAGATTTAACGTCGAGAATTGCATACGAACACTGTCAGATGTAGGTAAGTATCTTTTCGTCTTGTAAAGGAAAATTTGGAGCGCTAATTTAAAAGTAACGTTTATTTAAATTTTGATTATGTAACATTGTCCTTTACAATTTCAGCTAAAGGAAGAGGTATCGCCATACCGACTGATCTGGAAAGCCAGGTCGCTAATATGTTCAACAAAGCGGCTATGCTCAGCAGACAGACCAGCAAGTGGTTGCAAGCTGCCAAACAACCAAAGATCGAACGTAGTCAGAGTCAGGTAATTTTCGATGAAATTCTTTATGAGATTAAGATTACCGCTTGTATTTTTAAAATAGGTAAATTGATTTAGGCCAATAAATGAGCAAAAAAACTTTTGACAGTTGGTATAAGTTAATATACTTCAAGTTTAACGTAAAATTCGCGAGACTTTTCGACCTGACTTGATACTTTTCAGTCGTCTTAATAAATTATTACATTAACTCGAAACCAAATAAATTAAATACATTAGAAGCAAATTAATACGTAGCGTTTTAATTTGCTTCTAATATATTTGATTTATTTGATCTCGATTTAATGTAATAATTTATTAAGACGACTGAAGAGGATCAAGTCAGGTCAAAACATTTCACGAAAATTTTGTTAAACTTGAAATATATTAACTTATACCAACAACCAAAAATTTTTTTGCTTATTTATTGGCTTAAATCAATTTACCTCCTTTATCAGATAGTTTAAGATAATTACTGTACGTGCCATCGAACCGTGTAATGAATTTACTTAAATGCATAGAGTGACCTATATTGCGCGGAAGGCTCAAACAACGAGGTAAAGGTCACTCATGGAAGCATAGCACTTTATTAGTCTAGTAATGCCATGTAGTGCGTCTGCTAAAATTAGCATACTGTCACATATATATAGGTCACATGCGCTTCGTATGCTTCACTGAAGATGTTAATTAGTTAGAGCTATACATACGCACGCATACGCACATATTATATATAAGAGAAATGTACAACAAGAAATAGAACTAGATTTAATTCTAATAAAATTTACATTTAATTCTATTTTCGCTATATGCTTGTAATAAAAATATATTCATATAATTAAAATATCTTATAATTGTTTATAATTATGCTTATAATTTAAATATCTCGATACGAAGCATCAAATATTAAGTACGTTGTATGAGAATTCTAGATGTTTCGTAATGTGAAACGTGTAAATTTACGTGTATGTAAACGTTAAAATTTTTTAATTATGAATTAGTTTATCATAGCGTAGGTTGTACGAAAACTCTTGTATATACAACGCGATTAATTGAGGCAACGATGTATTTATTAATGCCGTTTGTCTTTCACCAGCTTATGCGTCTAGATCGCAGCATTATAGAAGGTCTGCAGGACATAGTGTCTCTGTTAGAGGAACAATTGAAACCGTTGGTGCAGTCCGAGTTGTCTTTGTTAGTGGATATCCTCTATCGACCTGAATTGCTGTTTCCTGCAGCAACTGATGCCAGAAAGAGATGTGAAAACGGTGGCTTTATCAAGAGGTATAATACATACATATAATATATACACGATGTTCCGAAATAAAGTAAAAAAGTTATTTGTAAATTTTTAATTTAAGCAGCAGTTTTTGAGATATAAGAGTTTAAATTTAGCCAATTACAGAAGTATCGGAAGAGCAC